CACTTTCTTCTCGGACTTCTTTTTTCCCTTCTACCTCCTTTCTGTCCTTCTCTTTTGTTCTGTTCTCCAACCAAGTGTGCCGAGTGGGTGGTTGGCGGGTGCTCTGGTGTGGGTTGCTTCTTCTTTCCTATCAACATCTATCGTCCATATCCCCCCCTTCTTCTTTTTTATGTTTGTTACTCTCTGGTAACACCTCTAATCTCCTGGCGTTCATATGGCCGTATGCTGTTGCGAGCACCGTAAAACCTCTACTAAAACTACAACTGAAAGTGTGCCGAACAAGCACAGTTAGCTCTTCGGGAATCTCGCAAGCTATCTATCATGGTAATGGACCGAGTTCGAGTCCTCAGTGAATCTTTTTTTGAACTTTGGTTGTTGAGGGGAGCTTGAGGGGAGCTGTCGTGGTTTTCCATACTTTGCTTGATCCTGTCGGGGACCAGTTTTATATTTTGGAGATCCCGCCTCTTTAATTACGTTGTTGTGCTGAAAGTGGCGCAAACCATAATCACTTGACAAGTTTTGCGTTGAACTGAATATTCTTTGACAAACCGTGAGGTGTAAGTGTAAGTGTTGAACAGTGAACAGTTCTCGTGTATATTTATTTTAGCAAGAGGGCACTATTGGAAGGTCTTATTTTTCTGTCTCCCTTTTTATTTTTGTCAGTCTAGCTTGCCTTTTTCCTTCTACTCTAAATTGCCATTATTGTGTCTATATGTGTCTTTACTCGAGCAGAACAAAACATTTGTTACTGGAGTAAGGGAACCACCGTTCTGTGTGGAACCGCTAGACTCTTTGCCTTTGCATACAGAAGATGTGAGTTTGATTCCCCATTGAGGAGGGCTTTTTAGTCGAGTGTTTCTGTCCCTGTGCTGGGATGTTGAAGCCCACTCAGCAAGGGCTGCTCCTAACAAGGTAGGGTCGAAGCAGCCCCCCCCCCTTCTCCCCCATGATCTAAATTGGGTCGAAAGGAGCTTTTAAAATTTACATTTTCAATTTCAAATCTAGAAACGAGGGGAACACAATGATTAGACGGTGAAATTGTTTTATTTGAAGAGAAATCAGTGTCACAGACACGAAACGACACATGTAACATATGTCTAAAGGCACTTTTTTCCATGAGATTCTATACCAGGTCACGGCGGGTTATACAGAATGGGCAGTCGAGTGAACGAGAACAGAGCGCAGACATACAGAATGGGGCGACTTGGTGGAACCTTGTAGGTGTGTTGGTCCTTAGATTGTTTTTTTTGTTTTGTTTGTGCTTAGCTAAGTCTAAGGAGTATCGCATTCTGATGGCACAGGGGTGTTGCTTATTAGTATTACGCCTGAAATAAAAAGTATGCATACATTGCTGGACCATCACATCTCTTGACCCACAAGCAGCTTTCTAATCTACGAGAAAAAAAAGCAAACTTAAAAAAGAAAAAGATAAAAAAGAAACACTTCACCCCAGCTCAGCTCAACTTTCTATTACAGTCGATGTATTAGACCTGAGCGGCTACGTCCGTGGACTATGTTCTTCTCACTCGCGCCCACTTCTCCTCCCCCTTTTCTTATCTCTCTCTCTCTCTGTCTCTCTCTCTCTTTCTCTCTCACTCTCTCTCCCCCTTTCTCTCTTTCTCCCTTTCCATCCCCGTCTCTCCCTCATTCCCTCCCCTCCCTTTGCTCCCTCTACCCGTTTCCCCTTCGTCTTGTCTGCTTCTACTCTCTACTCTGGACTTTACTCCTCGGCGGCGGGCTCAGCAGCGGCGGGCTCAGTGCTCTGGGGTGGAGGAATGTAGATGCCCATCAACATCTGCAGCTGGGCGCTCAGGCCGAACTTGTAGGTGATGGAGGTGAGGGGGGTGGTGGCGGGCACGCCGGGGAAGGTGGTGGCGGGCCCGGTGATGTCGATGTGCGTGAAGGGGATGGAGCTGCCGTTGTCCAAGCCGGCGGCCTGCAGGATGAAGGCTACGGGCTGCTGGTGGCCGCGGTTCACGCTGGTGGAGGGGCCGGGGTAGGCCACGAGGTCAGCTTCGGGGTCGTTGGAGGCCAGGTTAGCGGCGAAGTCCTCTCTGTGGGTGGGGAGAGAAAGTTTGTGTGGGTACGTATGTGTCAGAGGGAGGGGATTTTATTTTTGTGTTTTTGGGAGGGGGGACAAGGAAAGAGAAAGATGCAGAGA